TTTGATACCTCAATTATTCTCTTTTGAATGAGGCTCATAATGAATGATCATCACTGTTATGTTATTCGGTACAAAGAGCTAATTCACACGATAATTTGGGTCATGATTCTGATACCACTTATTGAGCATGAATTTTCAATCCAAAAGTGGATTGACTAGCTCGCTTATATGGCCTAATACCCCCTCAACATCATTCGACGTGGGACTTGTTTGACAATTCAACGCTCTAGCTAACCAATTGAGCATAATGTAATTGGTTATTCTAGATTCTCTCAAGATTTTATAGACATAAATGTTAGTTGGATTTAACCTATTGACCTAATTTGGTGCAATCGTCAGAACAACAAGTTTCAATATTAAGATGACGTTTAATATTGAAACTATAAGGACTTTGAAATTAGTCCCTAGTGCCTTGTAGGCCTTAGTGTCCTCCTATTGGTCTGCAACCTTTAAACTCGATTTGTTGAGAATTCTTACATTTTTTTTTGTTTAACATTTAAGAATGTCCAAGTCAGTTTATACGTACCTCGATTAATCCCCTTTCTAGTCTAATCAAAAGTAAATCATTCACCCGAAACTAGGGAATCATGGTCTGTCTTCAAGAGATTGTCAAAATTTGAATTTAGAATGTTTAAATTTATAATTTGTCCTTGTTGTCACTTGAGCTAATTTTGAGAATTCCTACATTTAAAAAGTCATCAACTTGGCTTTCTTTAATTAGAAAAACTCATGCAGCTACAAGGGCTCGATTACTAGTTGCTAGTACCTAGCAACAAATAGGCAGGCCTTACTGTCCTCATACTAAACTTATTTGTAAACTTTAACCTTGTTTTGTTGAGAATTCCTACATTAGACTAATCATCAATTTGGCTTTGGCATCTGACTTAAGTATAGCTACCTCACTTGAGTTGAATCTTCGCCGAGTTAACTATGTTAGAATAAGGACATGGGGGTGAGCTCACAATTACGTCAGAAATTGAACAAAAAAAAACCACACCACATTTTCAAATTTGTGTATGAGGTGATATAATATATCATAGGAAGAATGTTGCAGCATTTAAGGACAAACACAGGACAATGTCGTATGTGTTTCTTGGCATACTATAATCTAATGCCAAGAATAAAACCAAAAGCACTGGCACAAGAATCATTTACAATGAAAGCCCTGTCAATCCTCAATGGATTCTAGTTCCTATTCTTATGATATTATTCAACAGGTGGGGGGCCCATATTTTTATATTTTCTTGGTGGAAGTTTTTTGGAGCATAAATCTCAATTCAATCCACAGTAGATTCCAAAAAATTCAAAAAAGTGAAGCAGATTTTTTTTTCTTTCTTTCTCTCTCTTTTACGACAAATTTGTGCGGTTATGCATCTTTCAAACGCGTGGCTATGATTTGACATAAATTTATGATGCATACAATCATATCCAACTCACGTGCTGTTAAACCCGTGTTTTATGTGACTTTGAAATTCAAACTCATTTACAAGTTTACGATCATGTATTTGATTATGATATTGTGTTTATAGGCTACCCTTATTTCTTTTGAGGATATATTTAGAGTACATACAGCATGAAGGTTAGGTATAAAATTATAACTCGCAAAGAAAACTACCCTCTTCCTTTCTGTTGCCGGCATTTGTGAGATATTGTGATATTTTTTTCTTATTTTAATCTTTTAGGAAACAGTCAAATATCATTGTAGGTGTCAATTTGAGTCCAATCATGTCATATTGATTTGTCCCGTGTGCATGTAATCCAATATCGTAAAACTATAGGAATGGAACACGGGTCTACTAATATCAGATGCGGCCTCTTTGACACATTGGATGCCCTACCCTCAATTCGTTTGACTTATTTTTGACCCTATCAGATAGTATGAATTGTGGTGATAGTTATTAATGAATTTTCGAAAAGAAGGAGCCAGATAGTGTTACGAGACAGCTTTTATTTGATGGAACCAACTGCACCCATTGGAAGACTAGGATAAAAGCGTGGAAATTATGAAAATTGCTTTTTATTCATTTCTTCCTTCTATCTCTTCTATCTTCACTTACCTCCTAAATACTGGGAAAAAAAAGAGAGTAAAAAGTGGCCTTCCCTTCAATTAAGCATCTGTCTTCCTCCAAACATGGTACAAATTCATACCCATCTCTCTCTTCCTTTCCGTCCCTCCCCAGTTGCCTCTCTCTCCTAACATAGTACAAATTCATACCCATCACTCTCTTCCCTCCCTCCCCCAGTTGCCTCTCTCTCTATCTCTCTCCTCTCAATGTCGTCGTCGTCGTCGTCGGGCACTGGCCGGCAGGTTCTTATAAGACTTCAGCTGGTTTCTGTTGAAGCCAATTTGAGAAACTTTGGAGGGTATTCATGTCGGCTCTGTAATGTTTCTGAGTGAACTCGAGTAGGGTCGGCCATGTGAAGTCTGGATATATTCTAGGGTTCTTGGTGTCCACCAATTCAGATGGTGGGCTCACCACCTTATCCTTCTTTGGGCACAAAAAGAAAGCAAGAGACTTCCTAGGAGTTCTATTGTTTACCACAGCTCTGTGCAGGCAACTTTTGTATCTTCCATTTGCAAGAGCCTGAAAAAACAAACCCCACAAAGTTTAATGAACATTACATCCAAATAAGTAAAAGTATACTAATATTTGGTTGGTTGTGGAGATTTATTTCTCATGAATATGTTAATTACGATTTAAATGGTCTGTTTTTATCCGGATGGGAGAAAAACTTAGTTGTGATGCATGCAAGTTGACTAGAACACTCTTCACCGTTTAAAAAAAAGAAAGTATAATAATATAAATACACCATATTATGTTAATGATACCCTTTTTTATGTGCATATTATCACGTGACTAAGGTTAGAGAAAGAAAGCAAATCCGATGAAGGGTCAAAAGAAGCAATTAAAACACCGAAGAAAAATTGAAACAAAAAAAAAAAGTACAAAACGGTAATTAAGTTATTACCCAAAATAATATTAGGATATATATTTAATATTATTTATCTTACCATGAAAGTGGTAAAAAAATTACAAAAATGGACACTACTTAGAAAAAGTAAGTAAAAAAAGTAAAAATATATTTTGAAAAAAAACATTACGAAATGATACCTAAACTTTTTATTGTCAGTTAATAATAAAAAGTTTGAATATATTTATGATATGATATATACATATATTTTATCATGAAAGAACCTCAAAGAATAGTTCAAGTGTTAATAAAGATAAATTGTAAATTCAGATAATCTAAGTTTAAATTTTTATAACCCCTTAGAGTCGGAGGATTTATCCTACATAAATACCCTAAGTCTGACGTAAATGACTTATCTTTAACCAGATTACAGAAGAAATTAATCAAAATACACATAAACTAAATTAAACATCCTAAATCGTTGAAAAAAAGAAAAAAAACATCTTACCATGAAAGTGTCGCCTATGTTAACAACAAAAGCGTTGAAATTGGGACCAATTGACCTCCATTCATTGTCCACGAACACTTGAAGACCACCAACAGTGTCTTGGTGGAGGATTGTTAACGATGTGGGATCACAATGGGGCCCTGTTCCTAGTGTGAGTTCTGGTTTCTGGCATGGTGGATAGTAGTTGAGCCTCATTATCGAATCATTCTCTTCGAAAAACTCCTTGAAGTGGGCTCTGCTTACACCAAGGCTCATCCCCAATAGCTCCATGATCCCAAGAGAAAGTCTACTCATTGCATTGCAATAGTGCTGGTAAACTCTCCTATATATGCAAACAAAATAAATGTTAGATACCATCAAAAATAGAAAAAAAAACAACCAAAACGTCTCTTTTTTTGTGAAAAACATAACAAATTAATCAATGATTAAATATCACTAGTTTTATGTTTCAAGATGTTTTGATGTCCACCTAAAACTAAGCAAATTGTCCTCTCGAAAAAGAGTTTTACCTTTTCTAAAGGATCTTGTTTTTTTTTTTTGCAAAAAACAGAACAAGTTAGTGATTGAATATCACTACTTTTATGTTTCAAGGTGTTTTGATCGATATATTTTTTTTAATTTAACTATGATTATATGCTAAAACGAAATTTTGATCCGGGTAAGAAAAATGAGTGAAATGGTAATGTTTTTGGTACCCGAATTGTAAGAAATCTTGACCCATTGTGTTACCCAAATACTCTTCAACAATATGGGAAGAGTTCGCATCTGCAGAGTATCTGAAAGAAAGTGTCTCCTTCCACGGGAGCTTCGAGGAGAACCTTCCAGTGAAGCTACTAGCATATCCACAATGCTCACCAGCCTTCCTCTGAGCTTTTTGCTTTTCACAAAGTGGCAGGTCAAAGAACGAGTCTATATACCGATGAGCATCGGAAATGAGACCGGCGTCGACACCATGATTGACTACCAGAAAGAAACCGTGCTTTCGACAAGCCTCGCCGACGAGGCTCGAGGCTTCAGTGGCCGCCACAGGGTCTCCGGAGAGGAATCCTACTAAGTCGACGAGAGGTACCGGAAGTTCTGGTGCTGTGGCGCTAGGCTTCTCGTGGTCTGGCCATATGAACTGGGTTGGTATGTTGGGTTCATGACGAAGCACAGAGGCATCAAAAATTAGAGGCTTTTGCTCATCTTTGTGGTCATTTTTGTGCTGGTGAGACATTGAAATTTTGTTTGTGAAACCACTGTCAATACCCATTGCATGAACCTAAAAGGTGAAAGAGTCGACTGAGAAGAAGAAGAAGAGGAGTAGGAGAGGGAGAGACAGAGAGAGGAGTAAGTTTGAGGGGTGTGATGAAAGAAAAGCCAAAGCCGTTCATTGGGGAAATCGGTGAACGAAAATTGGAATCTTATAGGTGTCTTCTCTTGTGCCTCTAACACATAGATGTGCATAAAATATTATTTGCAATGAAGGACTTTTATTACAAAATCGGGGCCTATATAATGAACAAATTAGTTAACGATTCAAACCCAATGGATTAATTGGGTGTCTGAATTGGTTTATGCGCATTTTGACTAATTTTCTATCTGATTTAGGTAATTCACGTCGAGATTAAAATATTTATGATAGATAAATTTCTCATGACATAGTCATAAGAGGTTGCTAAAATTCGAAGTCAGGACATCTAAGTTTACAACTCATCTCTATTACCACTTAAACTTTCTATCTAATATAATTTTTTGTTTTTCCATCAAGGTTTAGGACTGATTGTATATAAAAATATACATGTGGAGTTCAAGCAATGGCCCAAACTTTCCCCATAAACTTTTCCCATATTGAATAGTTGATCATTCGTCATGTTTGAATAGGGTACCCACTTATAAATAGTAGTTTTCAATTGTATTATAATAAATGATTTATTACTAAATAAAATTGAAGAAAAGTATAATGGGATCTGTTTGGAGTTAGCTAAAATATGTAATTTTTAAGGGTTTTGGAGTAACAAGTCCGTTTAGACCTTATCTTTTCTACTAACTTATATAGCAGTGTTTTGAACTCAAAAGTACTTATTTAGGCAGATTCAAAAAGTTAATTTATAAGTTTTTCTTTCGATTTTTTGGAGTTTTGTCGCGAATCTCACATATTTTTTAATTTATTATATTTACAAAATATTATTAGTGACATAAAAAAATTAAAATTCATAGTTTGAAAACTATTATATATAATCTATACATACATATAATTATTTTTTTTATTTTGACACAAAAAAGACAAATAAAACAAGAAAATCAATTTAAACAGACTTTTCAAACTTTTTACGGAACACCTCAAACGGCTTTAGAAAACATTTTTAACCTTGATTTTTTTACAAAAATTTTCAAATCACAATTTTTACAGTAAAAAAAAAAAAATCAACTCCGAATAGACTAAATATAAACTCACCTCAATCTTACTTTTTTGTGCATATGACACACAAGGGTGTGCAGAAAAGACTATATTTGCAGGGAAGGACATATGAAGGACTTAATTACAAGACAACGGCTTATAGAATGGATGAATTAGGAAACTTTCCAAGCTATGTTGTCTTTTCCATTGTTGCCAAGGAAAGCGTTTCCCAAGGGGGGAGTTTGGCGTTTCCTGCCGTAGAGATTTATCTAATCTCACCCTGCTCTCTGTCTACACGGGTTGGGTTCTCTTAGATTTTACTCTGACAGTTTTTCCATTTCGATTTTTTTCCTCTCAAAGTTTAGACAATAATATCACTTTCATGTTAATGAGGTTTCGGTACTTATTACGAGCGTTAAAAAATGATATGATTGGTTAATACGATAAGAAATTAGAGAATTTGAATTGTCATCAAATCACCTGTTTCGTAAATGTGAGGACCCAGCACAATACGATTAATAAACAATTTTGACATGAAAAAAGTCGATTAAAAGAAATATATAATACGATTCGTTTATATATTAGTTATATATATAATTCATATATGACACGACTCATTAGACACGAATTAATAAATAAATCGAGTGAATTAAATATTTTTCAACACAAACTTGCAAACACCTGACACGATAAATTGGTCTAATACTTATCCTAACTCCTAACTCACTTATTATATAAATTAATTACAACCCGATTAGAGTCAAATCACTGCAAAAGTAAGTTAAAATGAGCAAGACATGATTTTATCTTATTGAATCGTAACTTTTAGTAATTGAGTCGTGATTTTTGATATCATAATCATTCTCTAAAAACATTTTTGATTATGTAATGCATTACTTTTAGCAAAAGCTGAACACTTCCACCATCAGTTTGGGGGGGGGGGGGGGGGGGGGGGGGGGGTGTTGGGCAGAATCTGCTTGACATCTTCACCCACGAGAGGAGAGGAAGGAGATGGAACAATGGTCCTGTATTTGTTGAATCTACATAATTTTCTGTGGAAAAAATTTTGTTCATACCTAACGTATTTATAATTGTTCACTTGAATTCATATCATAAATAACTAAGTTTATGTCAACTCATTAATTAAACGAGTTTACCAAGTCAATTCTTCTATCACCTAAATCGGTTAAAACAAAATTCTTACTTGATATATTTTTTTTTTTTGTACAACGGTCAGGGTTGTTTGAGTTTTTTGTCGATCCAAGACATGTACCTCTAGCTTGGTGGAAAGATAGGTCATCTAATTTTCTGGGAGAGAATTGGAGATCTTCATAGTTGTAACCCAATGAGCTATTCGTTGGTTTTGTACGGCGGATAATTCACATAAATAATATTTATTAGAATATAAGAATTCAAATATAAGAAAACAATAAAAATATAACACAAAGATATAACATGGTTCAAAACAGTATACTAGAGGTGCAACTTGAGAGTGTCAACCCATTTTTAATACTTGGGTTGTACCTGGATAAAAAAACTTCAATCCGAATTGAATTCGAGCAAGTCTCGGGTTAAGGCCTTGGGTTGTTAGGTTCAACCCGAATATTAAAATTTAATTGAACCCAATTATTATATTAGGTTGAACCTAAATATACATAAATATATAAATATATTTAACTAAGGTTAGTATTTATCTTTACTCTTCAGAGTCCAAGCTTTTACTTCACTTCAAGTCTTCACTCTTGCACCTCCATCACTCTCAGATCCTTCTCTCACTTGTCACTCATCTTTCATCTAGTCTCAGACTCTCAGCCTTTTTCCCTCACTTTTTTGAGTCTCATCTCAGACTCTCAGCTTCTCTTTTTCACTCATCACTCATCCCTCTCTCAATCGTGACTCATCTAAGACATCTCAGACTCTTGGTCGCCCTTTCTCACTCGTCACTCCCCCCTCTTTTATCAACCTTAATTAAGTAACTTAAGTTAAACTCAATTTTTAATTCAAAATTAATCCGAATTAAGTAACTCAAATTCAGTTCGAGTTCGCCCGAATTAAACTCGGATAGTACTCGGTTGAATACCTTGGGTTGACATCAGGTTAGGATTAGGGTTAGGGTTGAAAATTATATACTTAGAGTTAGGCTAAAGTTAACCTCTCAACTCTCTTAATCCGTCCGAGTTGCACCCCTACAGCATACCCACCTTGGTATATCATACATACATCTATGAACCAAAAATCTATATCGATATATTATTCACTAAAAAAATTAGTCATTTGGTAATTAATGACATAATATTCAACCATATTTATAGAGATAAAATATTATTTCCTATCACATGTCTAAAATACCTATTCACAATATATTAAAACTTTTCCAATTTATTTTCTATTTGATTAGGTCACTAATAAACTTATCCATGATTTATTAAGACTCTTACATCAATTATCCAACAAACTCTCTTTCATAACAATTAGAGAGTTTAGATCAAATTCTAAATATCAAAGTTCAAAAGGGTTGGGAGGAAGGGGGGAGGGGGAAGATATTACAACACTAAAGAAGCACTATACGTGAGTGTGTATATATAAAGACACGCACATATATATACTTTGAAATAAACTATGTTTTCACTTGGTATTTTTTGTAAATCAATAAGGCTCTTAAAAACTTTAATCTGATATTATTGTCATGATCAACAAGTTAAAATTTTTATTATTTAATATCATTTTTTTATTCACGTTACCTTGTATGAGAGAGAGAGAGAGAGAGAGAGAGAGAGAGAGAGAGAGAGAGAGAGAGTGGGAATCACTGTTGTAACTACACTATGAATTGACAAAGTCAGACCACGTACGTATTGGTGGAACCTAACTATGAATCCACAAGGGACTTATCATTAAGTCAAACTTCACGTGGTGATGTGATTTTTTTTGTTTCCCTTTTGAAATACAAATACGGAAAAAAAGAAAAAGAAAAAGAAAAAAATATGAATTCTCCAATAATTTCAAATTCAAATAATCGTCCTCTTGCTAATAATTTTATCTAAGTACATCAAACCTCGAAGGTTCAGCTGGTCAAGAATTGATAGATTGATTTTGAAAAATGCAGCTCTTCACCAAAAAAAGTCAGTCGAGGGGGTGAGACGAATCCGGTTTATCATAAACTTAAATATATATACAAACTTTATCCCAGTGTGTGGAGAGAGAAGAAAAACAAAATTTATACATGTATACGTGTTATGCATGCATGAATGAATGGTGGGTCAATGAGAAAATGAAAGTAAGTAGAAGGGAAATGGACCACTATGTTTAAACAATGTGGGCAACTAGCTGGCTGGTGGGTTGTCAAAAGTCACAACTTCGCACTCGTATGTATGTGGGTTCTAAGGAAAATAATTCCCCTGAAATCAATAAGTAGTTTTCCATATACATATTTACAAAGCTTGTGGCTTGTTGTGGACATACATAGTTCATATTGTTTCATTAACTACTATTTTCTCATATTGCGATGTGCCATTATTTGGTGGTGGGTCTAACGGGAACCTAGATTTTTATGAGAAAAATGTACACACGAGCCACACCAAAACAGCGTCGTTATATTTAATAAAATGATAAAATTTTGGTGTAAAACAGTCGTTTTGAGAAACAGAACCTCTGCTGCTAAAAATCTAACGGCAGAAGATTCGGACCCCTCAAAAGAATGATGTGGGTCTTAGCTTAATTAAGTGGTAACAAAGGGTTGGTTTGAGAGTAAGTGGAGTCAATAAAGAAAGATTAATCACATTGGCAACAGAAATTGCCACTCAAAAGGAGCTAGTCTTAATCATCACTATATGCTGTACTGTTTGGTTGTTTTTGGTTGGTTGGTTGGTTGGTGATGACCATCAGTACAGTAACCCCAATCGTTTCTTCCTGGAC